TTTTTAATTTCTAATTGCAATGATTTGGGGTTTTTTCTTTCTTACGTTCTTTTCTTTTTTGTAAGATTGGCTGAGCATTTGTCTATTTTGTTTATTCTTTCCAAGAACCAGCTCTTCAGTTCACTGATTCACTGTATTGTTTATTTAGTTTCAATTTCGTTACCTTCTGCTCTGATCTTTATAATTTCCTTCTCCTTTGCTTTGGATTTTTTTTTTCTCTGTTATCTTGAGATCCATCATTAGGTTATTTATTTGGGTTCACTCTGCTTTTATTTTATCTATTTATTTATTGGTACCAGGGATCAAACTCAAGACCTTAGGACCTTGCACCTGTGAAACAGGTGTGGTGTCACTGAGCTAAATCCCTGACTCACTCTGCTTTTATGATGTGGACATTCACAGCTATAAACTTCCCTCTTAGGAGTGCTTTCATTGTGCCCCATAAATTCTGGCATATTGTACTGACATTATTGTTTGATTCTAGGAACTATCTAATTTTTTCTGTAACCCATTGATCAGTCAAGGGTTTATTGGGGTTTTTAAATTTATTTTTTTAATTTTTTTTAAGGGTTTATTGTTTAATTTCCATGCGTTTGCATAATTTCTTTGGTTTCTTTTGGCATTGATTTCTAGTCACATTGCAGTAAGATCTGACAATATGCGTGGGATAATTTCAAGCCTTTTCTATTTACTTAAGAATGTTTTATAGGCTAGTGTTAAATGCCTTGTGTCTAGATGTCCCCCAAAGCCTCATGTGATCATAGGTAGGGTTTTCAGAGATGGTTATATCCAGAGTGTGGATGCTGAGATCAAGAACGTGTGATTACTAAACTAGTTCACTGATTGGTTTGGCATAGTTCTGGGAATAGATAATGGAAAGGCCTTCCCTGGGTATGAGTGCTACCTGCCCTAAGGGTGGGTAACCTGGATATAATAGAAGGGACAGAAAGAGGGCTGCTATGTTACTTGCTGCTTGCTACTTTGCTTCTTCACTACTTTGCTGCCTTCTGCCTGCCATGAACTATTTCTCCTCTGTGATGCCACCCTGCTTTAGAGCCAGAGGTATGAAACCTCTACAAACTGTGAGCTAAATAAACCTTTCCTTGTTTAGCTTTGGGTGTCAGGTATTTTGTCTCAGAAATAAGAAAAAGTAAGACAGCTAGCATGTGCTCTATTTTGAAGAAAGTTCCATGTACTGCTGAGAAGAATGTGTATTCTGTTGTTGAGTTCAACTCTAATTTTTTTTGACTAGTTGAACTTTCTAAAAAAAAATTTGTAGTATTGAGGTCCCCCACTATAATTGTATTTGCTGTTTATCTGATCTTTTATGTCCAGTAGTGTCTGTTTATGAAGTTGGCTGCACAAGTGTTTGGTGCATATATATTTATAATTGCTATACTTTCCTAATAAATAATTTCCTTAACCAGTATGCAGCGAACTTCTTCGCCTCTTCTGATCTGTTTTGGCTTGAAGTTCATTTTGTCTGAAAATAGGATAGCTACTCCTCCTCATTTTTGGCTTCCCATTGCATGAAATATTGTTTTCCATCCTCTGAATTTTAGTCTGTGAATTTCCTTTTGGTTTATTTCTTATATACAGGATACCACTGAGTTTTGTTTTTTGATCCAATATGCCAATCTGTGTTTTTTGATTGGGGAATTTAGACCATTCACATTGAGAGTGATTATTAAAAGATATTGATTTATTCTTGCCATTGCATTATTTTCCTATTGCTGATTCCTTTTTTTTCCCCACTTCTGTTTAACAGCTCATCCTGCCTGGTGTATTCATTCCATTAGACTTTTTCGCAGTGTTGGCACTGTTGGCATCATTATCTCTTTCTAGGATACCCTTGAGAATTTTTAGAAGTGCAGGTTTGGTAGTCATGAGTTTCTTAAGTTGCACTTTTTCATGGAAAGACCTTATTTCTCCACCAACCTTAATAGATAGTTTTGTATGATTCATCAGTCTGGGTTGGAAGTTGTTTTCTTTTAGGGTTTGAAACACATCACTCCAAACTCTCCTGGTCTATAAGGTTTGTGTTAAGAAGTCTGCTATAATTCTAATGGTTTATTTTTATAAGCAATTTGTTGTTTTTCTCTAACAGCTTTTAACATTCTTTGCATTAGACTACTGGGATTTTAAAAATTATGTGTCATGGAGAAGTTCTTTTATGATTGTAGTGACTGGAGGTTCTATATACCTCACTTATCTGTATGTTAAATTCTTTCCCCATATTAAGAAAATTTTCTGCTACTATTTCTGTAAATAGGTTTTTTAGAAAATGCTATTTGTGCTGTCTTCTGATTTTTAACTAATTCCAATTAATGTTAGATTAGTCTTCTTTGTATCATCTGGCAGATGTTGGATGCATTCATCATGTTCTCTTGTTTTACATATCTTTGAGTATATTGTCACTTGCATCAGCTCTATTTGCTAGTTCTGACACTCTGGCATCACAATGGTCAGTTCTGCAATCATTTTCAAAAAGAATTTTTACATTCTGGATTTCTATTTGATACCTTTTCATGGGCTCTAATTCTTTGCTAAACTGGTCATTCATATTTTCTATCATTTTTGTTTAGCTCAGCTAGCTTTTCACTAGTGTCTTCTGTAAGCTCTGTGATCATTTTATTAAGCCCGTTATCAGTTTAGTTATATAATCTTTGAGCTTGCCAAGAATCTTATTGATCTATTATTTTGTCTCCTCTTTTATCATTTCACATAAGTTAGCTGTTTGGCTTTTTATTTTTTTCTCCATCAATGCTCAACCAATCAGCTTTGGGGGGAGTAGGGAGTTTTGGGAGGTATTTTGTTTTCTTGCCTACTCATTTTTCTAATTTATTTTCTTTTTTGGTGCTGAGTTTTGCAGGTCGATTATCCTTTTTTTGTTGCAAGTATGGAGATCTCTTTAGTTAATGTTTGTTTTTCAGTGATGTGCCCTGGGTGAGGATAACTATAGGCCTTACCCTCTGTCCCAAGATTTGCAAGATGAAGGTCCAGTGTAATTGGCCAAGCACCCAGTTCTCTGGAAATGAACCACAGTATTGTTGATGACACAAAGACAGACCAGATGTTGGCATACAGTAAAAACAAGTTAATACCAACAACTACACGACCCTGGAAATTGCAACAAAATCAGCAACAATAAAAGAAATAAAGACAAACCTGATATTGATATACTACAAAAACAAATAAAAGTTACCACTCTTAACTGTCTTAATTACTTTTCTCATTGCTGAGACAAAATACCCAACACCTAAAATTAAAGGAGGAAAGGTTTATTTTGGCTCACAGTTTGTAGAGGTTTCAGTCCATAATTGTCTGGCTCCCAGCCTGGGTGGCACAGCAGAGGGGCATCACAGAGCAGGCAAAAGGCAGCAGAAGACAAGCAATAGCAGCAGTAGCAAGTGACAGCAGCAGCCCTGTTTCTGTTCCTTATATTCCATGCAGGCTACCTGCCCTTAAGGCAGGTAGCACTCATACCCAGGTGGAGTACCCTTAATCCTAACATCACACCATCAATCCCAGCTCACAGTTTTAATCTCAGCATCACCCACCTAGATTCAGGCTCCCCCAAAAAGCCCCACCTTGACTGCTTGGGGGGCCATCTAGAAACGAGCCATAAATAACACTTAACTATAGAAATGAAACCTACAATTATAATATAGACACAAAGACAGACAAAATATTGACATATAACAAATATCTATTAAAGGTAATAACTATACCACTATTTATTATCAATAAAAAAGAATTTAAAAATAATAGTATAAAGTTAACTAAAGAGTTTAAAGTAATACTAATAAAGATGAATGGGAGGGGAAGAGGAAAATAAAAAGTAAAATGGAAAAATAGAGTAGAGGAAGATGAGAGGAAAGTGAGATAACAAAATTCTCTGATGGAATAAAAGAAAATTAATAGAATTAGAAAAAAGTAAAAGAAAAAAACAAGAAATGGAAGAAAAAACAACAAAATAAAAAAGAAGAAAAAAGAAAAGGAAAAAAGAAAAACACACACACGCACCCCCCTCCCAAAAAAAACTTAGCTTTGTTTGGAATGGTTTCTTTCCAGGGTCTGCAATATTGGATTCCACATGATATGAGGGAGGGATAGTTTGTTTTTACACTGATGTTTTTGTGTGTGATTGCTCAATCCTACCTCACCTTTCCCATAGGGCATAGTTGGCTAATGATTTCCACCATATGGCTATAGTCACTTGAGCAGCTCTCAGTTTCTATGTTCTTCTGTGTGCCACAATTCTCAGCTTTTCCACTCTAGCTTTATGGCCTATGAGTCTGTGTGATATTCCCACCCTGTTCCAGAGGTCCCTCTGTCCATACATTCCAGGCTATGGCAACCATCCAAGCAGAGATGTACCCTTTGTGTCAGCAGTGACTGCTCCCCTCCCTGGAAGTCAGGGTCAGCTTTCCAGGCTGATTTGTTCTTTTCTCTGCTTTGTGTTCCATTTCTCCACCTTCTCTGGTTTCTAGTTTTCTTATCAGCCCCCTCTCAATTCCCAGAGATCTACTTCTTTTTTTGTTCTCTTCACCAAGTTATTATTTTCCAGGGGTCTAGTTTCCAAGTTGCAGAGATGCTATATTTTGCTGCTAATCTTTGTCCACCGTTTAATCTCCCTCCCCAAATCCAAGCATTCTGATGCCTTAACATCCATTACATGGAAATAGTAGTACTGGGTCAGTTAGGTAGATTTTTAAACTCTATAAAGAAGGATTTTTTTTTTTCTGGATCTGATAGTACATGCCTCTAATCCCAGCATTTGGGAGGGTGAGGTAGGAAGATTACCACAAGTTTGAGGCCATCCTGGGCTACATAGGGAGACCATGTCTCAAAAACTTTTAAAAGGGCTATGTTTAAATTTTAAGTCTTATTTTAAAATACTTATTGATTTGTAAAAGTTACAACATGAATACATATTTGTAACAATGTATAGAAATTTGAAATTGTATTAATTAAAAGTTGAAAGTCCAACTTCTCACCTTTTCTCTCACAACTGACTTCTTGGATGAAAAACCCTTCCACGTATTTTCTGACACTGTAACATACATAAAAAAAATCCAGGTGTCAGCAGGATTGGTTCCTTCTGAGGGCTGAAGAAAGAATCTATTTCATGCCTTCTACCTCCTGGTGGTTGTCTGGCAGTCTGTAGCATGGAAGCATCACTCCAATTTCTGCCCTCATCTTTACAAGAAGTTTTCCCTGTGTATGTGTCTCTGAGTTCAAATCTCTCTCTCTCTCTCTCTCTCTCTCTCCTCTTTTTTTCTTCTTTCTTTCTTCCTTCTTCCTCTTCCTCCTACTTACTCCTCCCCTTCTTCTCTTCAGTACTGGGAATTCAATTCAGGGCCTGTGTATGCTAAGGAAATGCTCTACCACAGAGCTACATCTCCAGCCCCTCTTTAAAATATTTATTTGTTTGTTTATTTATTTACTTATTTATTTTTTTAGATAGACTCTTGCTATGTAGCTCAGGCTGACCTAGAACTCCCTATGTAGTCCAGGCTGGCCTCTAACTTGGGGCAATCCTCCTCCCTCAGCCTCCCAAGTGCTAGGATCCCAGGCATGTGCCACCATGCCTGGCTTTTAAAATATATTTTTATTTTGAGACAGTCTTACTAAGTTGTTCAGGCTGGCTTCAAACTTGCAATCCTCTTGGATCAGCTTCCAGAATAGCTAAAGGGTGAGCATCACCACACTTGACTCAAATTTCCTCTTTTTATAAGAACACAAGTCATACTGGATTTTCCTAAAGAACTCACCTTAACTAATTACATTTCTAAAAACCTTATTTCCTAATAAGGTATATTCTGAAGTACCAGAATTTTGTGGGGACCACAATTCAATATAAAATATTAGACAAGACTTAAAATTAACTGTCTTAGATATGTTCAAAAAGAGCCAGCCCAGTAGCACACATCTGTAATTCTGGCACTTAGGAGACAGACAAGAGGAGCACAAGTTCAAGACCAACCTTGGGCTACATAAGAAGAACTCTATCTCAAAATAAATAAGCTGAGTATACTGGCACATGTCTGTAATCTCGACACTCTGGGAGACTGAGGCAGGAGGATTGCAAGTTCAAGGCAAGTCTGGGCAACTTAGCCACTCAATGAGACCCTGTCTAAATAAATACATAAATGCTTAAAAATCATCATAATGTATTATGAAATGAGAGGAATAATCCAGGAAAAGCAGGGGATAGTAATAAAGAGAAAGAAATCATAAAAGGAATCAAATAGAAAATCTTGAGCTGAAAAATATAACAAGCAAAAAAAGTTAAAAAAACAACACAAAACAAAAACAAAAAGAAAACAAACAAAAAACTTCAGTAGACAGGGTCTAATAGCAGATTTTAGTAGGCAGAAGAAGGAATTGGTGACCTTGAAGATAGGTTGATTAAAATAACCTTGAGAAGCAGAAATAAAAAATAAAGAAAAATGAACAAGCTAGGTGCGATAGGATATGCCTGTAATCTCAGCACTCAGGGATTCTGAGGCAGGAGGATAGCAAGTTTGAGTCCAGCCTGGGAAATTTAACAATGTAGTGAGACTCTGATAAAAGGTATCTTTAAAAATTAAAAAGGGTTATCGATGTAACTCAGTGAAAAGGCCCTGGATTTAATTCCCAGTGCTGCAAAAGAAAAATTAAAAAGAAAAACTGAGACACTAGGTCATATGAGTCATCAACCAGCATATAACGGTATACATTATCTCAGGATCAGAAGAAGAAAGAAAGAGAAGGGCAGGAATAATATTTATAGAAGTAACAGCCAAAACTTTCTATATTTGATGAAATACATGACCATACATATCCAAGAGTCTCGACAACAAGATAAATTTTAAAAGATGCACGTTATTGCTTTTTAGCCTTTTGGCTGAGATCACAGAGATCCACATTAAGGCAGATTATAATGAAATTGTCAAAAAAACCACGACAACCCAGAGAATCTTGAAAGCAAAGAGAGAGAAGCAATTTGTCAGATATAAGGGATTCTCAGTGTGATTAACAATGAATTACTCATTAGAAATGATGGAGGACTAAAAGGGATTATATTTTTAAAGCAGGATGATATATTTAAAATGCTGAAATGTAAAAACTATTATCTAAGAATTTTATACCCAGAAAAACTACCCTTCAAGAAATAAAGAATAAATTAAGAAAAAAAAATAAGAGAATTTGTTCATACTATATCTGTCCCTTTGCAAAGACTAAAGAAAATTCTCCAAGTTGATATGTAAGGAAACTAGATGATAACTCAAAATATACATGCATTAAATAAGAATCCCAAAATATATGAAGCAAACAATTGACTGACTTGAAGGTAGAAGTAATTCTGCAACATTAATTTTTCAATACCCTACTGTGATGGTTAATTTTATTTTGACTTGACTATAAGACATGGGGTGCCCAGATATTTGGTCAAACATCATTCTGGATATGTCTGCAAGGGTATTTTGGAATCAGATTAACTTTCATATTGGTAGACTAAGTAAGGAAGATTGTATTCCATAATGTGGTGGTTCCTATCCAATCAGGCAAAGGCCTGAATAGAAAAAAAAAGGCTGACCCTTCTGAAAATAAGTAGGGAATTCTTCCTACCTGACAGCTTGGTATGAGACATCTGTCTTTTTCTGCTTTTGAACTCAAACTGAATCATTGGCTCTTCTTTGGTCTTGAGCCTGCTGGCTTTTTCACTGGAACTACACCATTGGCTCTACTGGGGCTTTTGCTTATCACACATACATCTTGGGAATTTTAGCCTCCAGAAAGGTATGAACTAATTACTTATAATAAATATCTCTATATATCTATTCTCTGTTTCTCTGGAAAACCCTACTTAGTAATCCACTTTCATTAATCAGTGAAATAACTAGATAAGAATTAATAAGGAAATCAAAGTCTTAAACAGCATTGTAAACCAATTGGACCTCAAATATTTGTACAGAACACTTCATCCAAGAAAAGAATAATACACATTCTCAAAAACATGTGGAACGTTTTTCAGAATAAATCATATTTTAGGATATAAAAGAATTCTCCATAAACTTAAAAATATGGAAATCTTGCTTAGTATCTTCTCCAACCACAGTGGAATGAAAAAGCACTCACCAACAGAAGGAAAACTGGAAATCTCCAAGTACATGTAAATTAAATAGAACTTTCTCAAACAACCAGTAGGTTTCCCAATGAGAAATGTAATTGTATTGTATACCTAAAATGTACCAATAAAAGAATTTTAAAATAAATAAAAATTTAAAAACCACAAATGGAACAACCAGTTAAAAAAGAAATCAAGTAAGAAAATAAGAATAGACCTGGAAAAGGAGAACACAAATAAAACATGAAAATGTATGAGATGCAGCAAAAGCTGTGCTCAAAGAGAAATAGCTGTAAACCTTTTCATTAAAAAAGAAAATTGAAATCATCCAACTTTACATATTAAAAACCTAAAACAAGAGGAGCAAAACTAGCAGAAAGAAGGAATCCAAGAGCCAACAGAAAGAAGGAAATCATGAAAATTGGAGCAGAGAAATAAGATAGAGAATAGCAAAACAATAAAGAGTTAATGTAACAAAAGGTTGGTTTTGAAAAAGTTAATGAAATTCTCAAGGCTTTAAACTGACCAAAAGCAAAAAAAGAGAAGATGCAAATACCTAAAATCAGAAAGTAGAGACGTCGCTATTGAACATATATGATATAGAAATACATTAAATAACAGATGAAATAGACAACTCAAGGGAAAATATCACTAAACCTTTAACAAGTAAAAAAGTTGAATTAATAATAAACACTCTTCTACTAAAGAAAAGCCCAGGATCAGATGGCTTCACTGGTGAATTCTACTTAACATTTAAAGAAAAATTAATACCAATCCTAGTGAAAATCTTTGTTAAAAATTGAAGACATATTTAATGAGCATATCGTGATACAAAAGCTGTACACAAATACTACATGAGAAGAAAATAACATACCAATATCCTTTATGAATATAAAAAGGAAAATCCTCAACAAAAACTAGAAAACTGAATCCAACAGCAAACTAAAAGGATTATACACCATGATCAACTGGGATTTATCCCAGGAATGCAGGAGTGGTTCTTCATAGGAAAACCAATTGATGTAATACAGAATATCAACAGAATGAAGAAGGGAAACCCACATGATCATCTCAATAGACTCAGACAGGCATTTGACAAAATTCATCACCCTTTCATGCTAAAAACATTCAACAAACTAGGCATAGAAGGAAATTCAGTTTACATGATAAAGTGCATTTATCAAAATTCCACAGCTAACATCATAATAGTGAAATACCAAAAGTTTTCCCCTAGGAGCAAAAACAATACAAGGTTGCCTGATTTAATCACAGCTATTTAACATTAGTGTGGAAGTCCTAGCCAGAGAAATTTGGCAAGAAAAAGAAAGAGATTGTCATCCAAATTAAAAAAAGAAAAAGCAAACTACAGTTGCAGATGACATGATTCTATGTATGGAAAATCCTAAGGAATACAAAACAATTTACTACAGCTAATACATGAATTTAGCAAAGCTGCAGGATAAATAATTAGCACACAAAAACCAGCACACACATCACCAATGAACTATACACAATGGAAAATTTAAAAATTCCATTTACAATAGGATCCAAAAGTATAAAATTATTTTTAAGGGATAATCTTTGGAGGTTGCTAAGGCTGGAACCCAGGGCCTTCAGTATGCTAAACAGGCACTCTACCACTGACCTACACCCCTAAATACCTAGGAATAAGTTTAACCAAAAAGAAAAGATTTGTACACTGAAAACTAAAAGTCTGCTGAAATAAATTGAAGATCTAATTAAATGGAAAGACATTTCATGGTCATGTGTCAAAAAACTTAATGTGATCTACAGATTAAATGTAGGCCAATTCCAATGGCCTTTGTATAGAGATAGTAAAGTTGGTCCTCAAATTCATATGGAATTTATAGGGTCCCAAATAGCCAAAACAATGTCAAAAAAGAAAAAGCTGGAGGATTTCTATTTCCTAATTTCAAAAC